TGTTAACGGTAAAAAATCCATGAACTCATAAGAACATAAAATCAGTCTAAAATTATTTAATAAAATAATTATTGTCATCAGCGTATACATTTGCACATATAAATATATATACATACATTTTTTAAAAATATTTTCGTGAAGGATAAGTAGTCAACTTATCCATTATAAAAATGAAACAAAATTGTCAGGAATTTCAGTTAATATTTTTATTGGTTTAGCCGATGTTTCGACCAGTGATGACCAAGATGTATGGGTCAAAACGTCGGCTAACCTAATAAAAATATCGACTGAAATTCCTGACAATTTTGTTTCATTTTTTAAAATAAATATTGACATAAAAATAGTTAGCTGTTCTTCGGTTTGATATGCTTCTATTGATAATAATTATAATACTAAAACAATGTTTTTTTTTGTTTGTTATTTTATTTATTCATGAGATTTACAACTGTATAAATTAAAAATACATGTAGTAAATGTGCCCAGGGTAATACAATCACATGAAAACGCTTGTTGAGAAACTATCCATTGTTAGTACACCAATAATATATTTACATAAGTAGATCACGAGGCCATCTTCTTTTCAGACGCCTCGAAGGGGAACCAAGGTTTTAAACGAGAGGATTCGGATGGTTTTGAAGTTTGTCATGGAAGAATAGGTATCTGGATTGGGCTAAATCGGAAACATATGGTACGTTAAGGTCGTTATGAATGATTTTATTAGTGACTAAGTAAGGTGCATTTAGGATTGTATTGTATTGGATACGTGAGGAATTCGATGGTTTTTTGGAGTCCCAAATATCAACTCCGTAAGTCCAAATAGATCTTATTGTAGTCATGTATATGATTCTTTTGTAATTATCTGAAAGCTTAGAGGGTTTGTCTAATAAGTGCTGGAGTAGTCGGAAACGTCGAGCGGTTTCTTGTCGTTTCAGTCTGGTATGAGAATTTAATGTCAGACGTTTGTCCAGGTGGAGTCCTAGATATCGGATTTGTTCTACAGGGATAAATGGAGTGTTATTAAAGAATGCTGTAGGATAGGAAGTCATGAGTATGCGACGAAGGGTTAAGATAATCCAACAAAGCTTTAATTTGAGTTTTAAACTATTTAAAGAAAATCTTCAGCATTTAAACGTAAACCATATATTTAAATTTGACCCCTTGTGGTATAAATATATGCTAGTTTATTCCAAAAATTAATTTATATAACGTGAGATATAGTTATCCTTGGAAAATAGTCGATTCCAATATGCTTATAATTTCGTCCTTAGACTAATTTAGAGTTACTATAAATGATATTTACGGTAAACTATACTTGTTTTATTATCTACTGTTTTTATGACTGATTGAGTTTTATAGTTATTGTTTTATTCATATCTAATATAGCGTAATATGAGTATAAAGCCTACCTTAAGTCCTATTTAAGTAAAAATAATTAATAAATTAAACTCCTAGTTCATGAAATTAGGGCGTTCAAACTCTGAATCTTTTTAGTATATATTATGAAAATAAAATCGATTTAATTGCAATATCTTTGATCCTCCTTGCCTGATTCTCTGTGATCTTTTATTGAAGCTGTCTTATTTCAGCTTTGTCCTCTTAAGGAGTGTTCAAACAGAATAGTTCAAACAAAAAATATCAGAGAAATTCATCTAATAAAAACTACTGTGTTATCTGGCAATGGATTATATATTTATAATAAATGAGAATAGAGTCTGAATATACTCTCTGAGCGCTATTATAAATATCCTTTGAGACAAATTGTAATATTTCTCAATAAACAAGTGTAAATATGAGAAACAAGAGAAAGGCACCTTGAATAATAAGTCTATAATTGTATTTAGAAATATAATAATCTGTCACGTGGACCATCATTGTAGTGATATAATGAACAAATTCACTCCATATATACAGAAAACATAAAATTAAAAAAAAGTAAATAATAATCAAAAACTATGTACAATAAAAAAAACCCTAAAGATAAGTCAATTAAAAACATAAAAACACAGTCATACCTATATACAATATATACAATTAGGCAGGGAAAAGCAGGACTCCAATTGACATGCCTCGTTGAATTTTAAACGATATATGTTCTTGTTTGTCATGATGTATTCTTATTTTACAAAGAGTATTCTTATTGTCCATTTTTATGAATTTAGTGAGTGGTTCATTTTAAAGTAATTTGTGTGCATACAATTTAAAATAGGCAAATTATCGTTCAAACAGGGGTACAGTTCTATTTTTATAAATAATTTTAGGGTAATTTCCTTTTCAATTGATACGGTTATAAATTCAAGACCGGAACGAACTTGATATTTCTGAGAAGTCACGAACTGTGACTTGACATGAAAAAACGTGATCATTACCTAATTCCTAGAAATGCCAAGGTCTCCGAAACAAATGAACATTCCAGCTGTCATATTCTAACTGATTAAATGGCAAATTTACTCCAATTAATTCGTAACAGCCATGTAGCAATGGGCAGAGAATATTTAGTGTTTATATATTTATTTTACTTAATTGGATCCCAACTATATTGAATTGGGTTCAACTTTGGGATGTTGAAAAATATCATTAATTATATATAAATGTCGATATGTAAAATAATATATCGGTATTAATATTTGGCTAATATTTAAAAAAAAAATAAACTAAATTAAATCAAAGCATAGAAATTAAAGATGGATGAAAATGAAAGCAACTGTACTGGTAAGAACATAAAAATAATATAAAATGAAAACATATTATGGGTGATGAATATTCAAGACACAATCATTATAAAGTTTTTATTGGTGCCGACGTTTCAACCCAAACATGTGGATCATCATCAGGTCGTGTTTACAGAGTATTACAGTACAGAATAAAGAATACCTTCAGTACTCTAAACACGCCCTGATGGTGACCCATTTTACGAGTGAAATATGCCTATTAACTATATGTTACTACTGATAGTGCAATAGGTCGTATGTAAAAATTTTCAAATTTTATTTTAATAACAATAAAACAATTAGTATTTCATTACTGATATTCATGTTCAGTATGCACTGGAATTCTCACTTCTTACTTTATAATATTGTTCTATTATAATTTTAAGAATCTTAATATTGTGTATATGAGAGGTGTATAAAGAAAGAGAAGTCATAGAAAGGGAAATTAAATATTAAAAAAAAAAAAAAAACATGAACAATGAAAGGAAAAAAATATATACATATATATATTTATCATACTCATATAAATTAACCACTTCTGTGTATTTATATATAATTTTATTTATTGTCCTACTGATTAACGTATGCTGTGTGTATAGCAACCCACTATAATTGGACAGCAACCTTTTATATTTTATATGAAAATAAAGTGTTTCTCTCTCTCTAATCACGAATACTATCTGTAAATACTGAACTCTTTCAGATTTTAGTATTCTCTGATGAATGAAACTCGTCGATATCAGACCTGTATTAATGGATTATTGAATTTCCGAAAATGGCTTCTTCCATATTATTCTCATATGAAAAATTTTAAACCTTGTAATATACATATTTTTTATACAATAGGAAACGGTGAGGGAGCTATACTGAGCATACTTGGAAGTCGTTTTTTTTTTTAATATTTTAACAATTCTTTTTTTCTATTTTTAACATCTATTCTTCAGCCATTACCATTAGCGATAATCTTTTTTATTAAATATGGTTCATTAATTGTTTTTCTTTTATTAAACTTCAGAGTTTTATTCAGTTCTTTCCGTTAGAAGAAGAATTATGTATTCAATGTTAAGCTCTAGTCGCTGTTTACTGTATATTTTACATTGAAGTATATGTTATACAATCAGATTAGTATTATCACATGTATGACACGTTGGTCGATGTAGGAAAATTGTCTGTCCAATTCCCAGTCTGCTAACGATGGAACATTCTTTTGATGTGAGGTGTTTTGGAGGAAGCCATGCTTTATTATCTTCTTTGTACAGAAGGAGATGATTTGAGAGCCAGACGTGGCCATTGTTCATTCCAATTTTTATTAATAGTTTCTCTTTTCCATTTGTTGATAAATATCGATCCTAAAAAGGGTGAGTTATAACTTCTGCATGCTTTCTTAGCTCCTTCGTCAACTTGTTTCCAGTAATGCGAATATGTGGAAAAAAATTGTTATTTCTTTACCATTATGGTGGAGTTTCAAGTTGTTTAGTTTACTTTAATTTATTTATTTTTTCGATAAAATCTTTTAAAAAAAATTATCAATTTATAATTGTTTATAAATTCATAATTTTTTCCTAAAATATAAACATTTAATTGTAGCTGTTAGAGCTACAAATCTGAGACTCAAACTCAATGTAAACCTGGTTTCTATTTTTTTTAAATGAATTTTAATTCGAAATAAGGATTAACACGCGAAAATAAATCAAAAGATATCTAACAAATTATTGAAATGGCTGTTATATATATTTGTTTCCAAAATGTTAAAACTGAAAATTAGTCAGAAACTAAATACATACACTTTTCTACTCAAACCCATACGGACATACGTCTCATAGATTTTAGCTCGGTAACAGGAATACAAAAAAGTGTATACATTTTGAGACTAATAACAGACGCTTTCTGGTAATTTAAACAACTAAAATTTACGTTAACAATCGAATATCACATTCCTACTTTCGATTGATTCGAGGCTGACTTGTCAATTTGTAGATGATTGAAAAGGAGCTGAATAAGAGACCTCATTTTTTAAATTAAGATACTTAAGACCTGGAAGAGGTTCTTCTGGGTACTACCTTTCTCATGTCTAAAATTTCACTTGCTTCTATTTCATTTTCAGCACATTTACTTATTGTCATTTTCGCCAGAGACAGATTTGAATAGGAAAATAAATACAAGAAAATAAAAACCCCCAAAACATCAATAATATTTTTCATTGATATTTTGATAATTCGGGTTACCGTCAATATATGCATTACACGAGTAAATGCCGATTTTCATCATACATTTTCTCCGTTTGTGTTCCAGGTGATGATGTACCTGGCTGGAGGAAAGGAACCATTGATACTCCAGCTTCCTATCATCATCGGAAACGTTCCTTTGAAGAGACACTTTCCATTGTTGGCTCCAGAGCTCAACGTTATGGAACCTTCGGTGCCACTACCCAAAGTTGTCACCTTCAGATACGATAGGTTTCGTAAGTATAATTTGGCAACATATATATATATATACCTTGATTCGAAACCTAACATTCCATTTTTTTTAATCAAGCCTGCTAGTATAAGCGTTCTGGAATTGGTGAATTAAAACCTGGGAGGTTTCAATATTTCAATTTAAATCCGGCAGTGAATATCCGGTGCCTATCAAAGATATATATCGTTATTTCTTTCTCATAAATCAAATAATTTCATGTAGTAAATTTTCAAGCATCCTGAAATAAATGAATTTTGAAACCTCAAATTGTAATTTTCAGTTTGAGTCTGTCCGTAGTTGGGCCTTGATGATGCAGAAAGAGTTATATTTTCGAGGTATTTGAGATTTGGGTGAATTTATAAGTTCTATATATCACAGGTGATAAATAATCAATACGCAGTATTTTTTTTTAAAAACATTTTTAATTTTTTATTTATGCCAGCGTTTCAACCCAGTGTGAGCACTTGAACACCCTCAGTGCTCTAACCAAGGTTTGTAAGAGAAAATATTGCATATTTGTATAAATGGATTATATATATATTAGTTTTTAATTTTTAGTTTGTATAACTATTTACATATTTCATTTTTAATATATTGTATATATTGTAATATATCGGGTAATATAATTGAGGTAATTTCATCGCGGCGAATCAAATGGGCTTGTGAAGTTGTTGGGCTTAGTAATGAGAGAATTCCTAAAAGGTTAATATTTGCTGTGCCGAATGGTAAGCGTCCGAGGGGTAGACCGAAGCGAAGGTGGGAAGATTGTATTAAAGTCCATCTGAAGGGACAGGGTTTGGACGGCGAACGGTGTAGGGAGGTGTGTAATAAGCGATTGGTGGTGTCGGCATCGAACCTTCGGGTTCGCTAAGCCTTTTATTATTATTATTATTATTATTATATTGTAATATATATTTTTTAATATAATATATATATATATATATATATATATAAATATTTTTATTATGTGTATTGCAATATTAGTTAAGATTCATGTACCATCTAACACTATAGTTTATTATTTATCATTATCGATCGTATAATATTATATCCCTCATTGTATTTTAGAAAAAAATTAAGCCCTGAAGATGACCCACAAGTTTGGGTTGAAACGATGGCATAAATAATTTTTTTTTTTATAATAAAGACTGCGTCCTGATTATTTATCACCCATGATATGTAGAACAGTCTGCTAACTTCTTTCAATATAAGTTCTATACAATTTTTTTCTAATTCATATTTTTTAAAATTTCATCACAGAAACAACATTGCTAAAAAAAAAAAAAAATCATCTTTTAGTAAATGTATTCATATTTCAACGTTTCAATGATCTGCAATGAGGGCGATTTTCTGTGAATCTGGACCTCAGAAATAGGAGTCATAGAACGATTTCGATGCTTAAAAACCTACGATTTTTGCAGCGAATTAAATTAAAAAAACTGGGATAAAACATTTTCTTGTGAGTTAAACAGACTTTGACTACAAATTTACTTATTTTACTGTTAAGCCTGACTCAGAAATAAATATGTATTAGGATATTGACCGCGTTGTAAGTGCTGAATAACATTTTTCTGTCTGATTTTATAGAATTTATTTTAATTTTTTAACCTTGAGTTCTGCCAATGGGTAGTTTCTCTTCATGTTTTACATGTCATGTTACCAACGTCACATTTACTTGTTGTATTTTTAATGTAATACAGTTGTAAATTTCATTAAAATAAAATTGTTTTTAACCTGTACCTTTAAGAATCCATGAAGGGTCTTGGATTCAGTACAATTTGAGGAAGTACTGTTACATGACCAACTGCGCATGAAGGTGATGTGGACAATACAACGCTCCACCACCAGGTTTTCTCCCTTAATTATTTTTTAAATTAAGAGTACCCACTTGATAGAGGCTGAGTGTGCCCCAGGAGGGTTTACCGACCCCAGAGTCGATCCAAGGCTAATGAAAAATTACTAGTCATTTCGAACCGCTACTCGGACTACTAGTCAATAGTCGAACTAGGACCTTCAGCTCTTGAAGTAATTATTTTAGTAATTTTCTTTAATAAAGAAATAAATTTTAAAATATTTCAACAGTTCTAGCCTATTTTATAAGTCAGGAAATGACGAGTTACTGTTATATTAAAATCCCGTTCCGAACTGAAATACCCTAGCACCTGTTGTATTATGTGCTATGTATTTTAAGACCGCCGGTGGTATTCATTTAATTATTTTTTTTATTTTTCATTTAAGGTATAAATAAATAAATATCATAAGTGGCCACATCTGGCGCTACCTGAGCGAGGGTAACGACCCACTAGCCCAACCTTTTGTAAGTGGTAATAAAAACCTTTAAGAACCACCGACCAAGACCGACAACTGAATGTTGAAACAGGATCCCGAAAGACCTTTTCACACCTTCTACCAGAAATACGGAAATCTGTACCTGCTGCTTTACCTTGGCCTGGGGGAGAGGGCGTGGTCATCCCTTAGGCTAGGAATATTCAGTCAATCAGGAAAAAGACTACCAAAAGAGAGGGGGATGAAGAAAGGTGGGAAATAGAGAATTGGGACTGAACACCTCCTTTTGGGACTCACCGAAGGAGACTTCAAGCTGGGAAGGACACAGGCTAGGGGACTTGATCAGGAGAGCCGGAGAGAGCAAGAGATGGACTGAGAGCTGGGACTCAGGCTAGGACACAGCCGGAGGGAACAAGATGAACATCAAGCATTCTCCTCCAGTATGATTCTCAACTATTCATTATGTATATAGGTTTAGGTATTATTTTGTATATATATGTTTTGATCATTTGAATTTGTAAATATAATAGTTAGTAAACCATCTTGGTACTTTTACCATCTATCCTGCATGTCACCAATTAGTTATAGAACAAATAGTAAATTTAAAAACATGATACCTTTAGAAAGGAAATCCAATAAATAGTATATGGTTCAATCTAGGATACTACAGTAGGGGGTCTGTGGTATCTAACATTTAAATACCTAATTAATATATTTTTCTGTAGATCGGTTCCCTTCTGGTACCAATATGAATACAAATATAAGTATTAAATACAAATAAATGCTGTTCCTGGAACCCCCTACTCGCCTTAGAAACGCGAGGCCAGGAACATAGCATATGTATTATCTATTCAACTCCGAATCGGTTGATATAATATAATGTTTTGTTAGTTATTTGGAAATGATTACTTCCAATTAACAACAACTTAATACATTTGTTGTATTATCAAAATTGTTTACAAGTTTACGTTTCGGGATATTTACTCCACTCTTCAGAACCAGAATCCCAATGATCTTGTTGATGCAAGGCTTAAAAATAATGTGCTCCATCGTCAGTTTCTAATTCATGTTATAATAAATCTAGGTATATAACATCTAGAGCAACATCTTGCTTTTAGACTAATAATTGGGTGTCTGCTCTTTGGCTTTGAAATTTTGGATTTTGATTTTTCATATCAGTGCATTTTTGGATATTGAATTTCAATGATTTAAATTAATAAAAGCTATAATATATAATGTATTTTAATATACTAGTTGTTTTTTTAGTGAGAAATAAGTTAAAATTAATAATTAATTACATCTGTTATAACTAAAAAAAATACAAAATTACAAAGCCATGAGTCTCTGACATACAGGTGAATAGATAACTTGCCATCGTTTCGCCATTCAAGCAACTTCAGGGCAGAGAAGAAAGAAAAAATAAACTATTGCTCTAGACATCTCACGAATCCATCCAAACAGATATAAACTTAAAAATATATTCAATATATTAGTTATGTCTCCTCCAAAACATTTCCGATACATCAATATTTAAATAAAAAATAAATATTGAAAATAATAGCTCTTACAGATTTTTTATTTTGACATGAAGGTAAAGTTTGAAGATGAAAAATAAAAAAATATAACTAAGAAAGAGCAAGAATGTAAACCAATTAATTAATATCCGCATATATATAATTAATAATTACACTAAGTATAAAATTAGAAGAGAGAGATAAGGTAATTATATTATAAAAAATCAAAAGTACAAAACTACAGAGCGATGAGTCTCAACACATAGGTGAATTGTTAACTTGCTAACGTTTCGCCAATTCAAGCAACTTCAGCGCAGAAAAAACAAGATCACTTATATCAAGAATTAAAAAACAATAAAGAAATAGAAGTAAAAAGAAACTATTGCTTTAGACATCTCACGAAGCCATGCAAATACATAATGAAGGAAAGAGAAGGTTATATTAATACAGCTATGGAAGCTTATATAAAACAGCTGATTAGCAGAAACACAAAGAAAAAAAATATGCATAACTAAAATATAATAATAAAAAAACATGTTAAGGGGCCCTACACGGTCAATCGGAATTGCACTAATGACGTTCCGAATTGTCGTGTAAGGTAGTGAATGAAGTACTGATGGTGGTGCGCTGCGGATTTCCGAACATCCGGAAATCAAAGGTTCATTCACGAGAAGTGATAGGTTAGGTTAGCTAGGCCTCACAACCATTATAAATTTCTAATTTTAATTATATGTAAATACTTAAATAATTTTTCATATCCCTTGTTTATAATTTTAAACCATCTTCAACTATTTCTTTTAAATAGTCAAGTGGGCAACAAATTAAAAAAAAAAAATGAGGAAACTTCACAATTTACTTTAGGAAAAAAAAACTTTAACGTTGTGTATATTTATCAGTTCTTTTCCCATTTTCCTCAACAAATTTATTATTTTCGCAATACCTTTTCTTAATTTTTGTAAGTAGTAGACTTATATTTTACTAACTTTTGTCAAAACGATTTTCTATGAGACTAACCTTACTACTAGATAGGTTAGTTTACCTAAGTCTCATTATTAAGTAAATAATTTCATAAAAGTAAATAGTTGTTTATATCCCTATTCTATGTTATTATTAACCATTTTCAACTATTTTTTTTTTTAAAAGTCAAGTAGACAATAAATTGGAGAGAAAAAAAAGTTGAAACTTCACATAAGTAATGATCAGTAATGATTGAACGTGTAAGGGTCTTCATGATCAAAGCGATAGCGGGCATTCTTGGAACTTCTTGTGACGTTCATTCATGAATTACCGTGTAAGGTCCCCTTTAAAGTTTAGAATTTTTCCAATAATAACCTAACATTCTTTATGTTTACTTTAATTATATTAGTTGTGTAGTGAATCCATGGAGCTTTGCTGGGAAGTGATGTTATATATAACTTCGGACGTTCTCTTTTGATTTTATTATTATGTTATTTTGTATAATTTAAAATGTTTTGTATTATTATATTCTAGTTATGCAGATTTTTTTTCATCTTCCTTGTATTTCTGCTGATCAGCTGTTCAATATAACTTTTATTAACTGTGTTAAAATAACCTTCCCTTTCCTTCAGTATGTATTTGGATGGCTTCGTGAGATCGCTACAGCAAAAATATTCTTTCTCTTCTATTTCTTTTTTATTTCATTCTGAATATAATTGATCTTGGTTTTTCTGCCACGATAATGCCTGAATTGGAGAAATGTTGGCAAGTTAAAAATTCACCTGTGTGTTGGAGAATCATGGCTTTGTAATTTTGTATATTTCATTTTTTATAATATGATATAAATACTTTATCTCTCCCTTCTAGCTTTATACTCATTGTAGTTATTAAATATATCTATGTCGATATTGATTAACTGGTTTACATTCTTGGTATTTCTTAGTTATATTTTTTATTATTCCTTCACAACTTTCCCTTCAGGACAAAATAAAAAAAAGAACTGCAAGAGCTATCATTTTTAATATTTATTTTTTCTTTAAATATTGTCGTAAGGGAAAGGTTATGGAGGTGACATGAAAAATATATTGAATATATTTTGAAGTTTATATCTAGTCTGGAAGTTTTCAGGAATTGTTAATATTTCATAGTGATCTTTTTAATTATGTTATCATTTACATTTCTTAAATATAAAGTTATTTTTTTCATTTTATTATTTTAAAGGAAGTCTTGGGATAAGGAGTCTAATTCTGTCAATCATTTTCCTTTCCACAACTATATATATATATATATATATATATATATATATATATATATATATATATATATATATATATAATAATAAGGCTTAGCGAACCCGAAGGTTCGATGCTGACACCACCAATCGCTTGTTACACACCTCCCTCCACCGTTCGCCGTCCAAACCCAGTCCCTTCAGATCGGCTTTAATGCAATCTTCCCACCTTCGCTTCGGTCTACCCCTCGGACGCTTACCATTCGGCACAGCAAATATTAACCTTTTAGGAATTCTCTCGTTACTAAGCCCAACAACTTTACAAGCCCATTTGATTCGCCGCGATGAAATTACCTCAATTATATTACCCGGATACAGCTCACGCAATTCGGCGTTGTGTAACCGTCTGAACTCTCCGGTTAACTCATCCTTCTTCGGTCCGAATATTCTACGCAATACTTATATATATATATATATATATATATATATATATATATATTTTTTTTATTTTTATTTTTTTTTATTTTTTTTTATATTTTTTTTTTAATGTACTTCTTAAAATTAAATAACATTCTTTCATCACAATTGAAGGGTATCAAAATGATGTAGAAGAATTACTCAGAAAATCAAATGTTCCCGAGTACATCATGTGAAATTTTACCTTTCTAAAAATGGTAAAACTATGTAGAGATGTAAATTAAGTTAAATTTTAGATATTTGTTTTCCACAAAGTTAACCAGTTTTGTGTTTATCTGTTTTTCTAATATTAATGTTCAACAAATAAATTATTCTTTTATGACATATGATTTCTAGATAATAACTGTTTTTTTATTAAAAGTTACTGGTGATACTTAAGTAAAAAGACCCAAATATTTATTATTTAACAATCAAGATAATAGAAATCAACATAAATTTACAATTAGAGTTCCTGATTATTTAAAGCATATGAATAAAATCATGATCGTTAAACCCTCTTGAATCCTTGTTATAAGTACCTATATTAGAAAATATTTTTAAAAAGTTACATATATTTTATGTTTAAAAAGATTTATTCTTTGTATGTAGTCCCTTTAGAATAACAAAATAGTACAAAAGAAACAAATTAATTCTGGCCGAAATGCTGGTATTTAATTTTATTAAATATTTATTCTATTTAACTTATTTATTGAAAAATATTACAATATGTTTCAAAGGAAATTTATAATAGTGTTCAGAGATCACATTCACACTCTATGCACAATAAATAAATGATATGTAAATAAATGATATTTTATAGATTTTATATATCTTACAGCATTATATGTACAAAAACAAAGTGAACTCTACTTATGTGTTTGCAAATACTTTTTTTTTTTGCCTATAGTAAAATATGGCTAGATACGGATTTTGTTTTTCACATTAATATTATTAATTCATTATAATAATAATAAAATACACATTTTAATAATATAGTTATTAAAATTCATGATTTTTCATACGCAACTAAATTACTAATATGATATTATTAATATAAATATTTCGTTTCAGCTGGAGTTGCTTCGTCAGAGAGCGTGAATCCACAACAATCTGAGTGCGTGTACAAGCTGCCTGCGTTCAAGCCTCGCTATCTCTATTACACGCCTAAGGGACTGTTATAATACTCGTGTAATTTTTTTACCTAAGTAACAGTTATAAATAACCTCTTAACCGAGAAACTGTTATAATATAACGGGGTTCTATTCTTATAACTTGTTACCTGAGGAATTGTTATAACTAGTTGTTAAAGAAATTGTTTCTTATGGAACTGTTATAATATAACTACCTTCTCAATGGAAGGTTATTACATAACTTGTTATTCAAAGAACTGTTATATATATAAACAGGTATCTTCCAACGGTACCACAACTCAAGTGCCAATGTTTAGCTTTTTATAAATCGCTTTGATAAAGCACCGAGCATGATAAAATCACATGAATAGCTTCTGACGTTCCCTAAGTAACAGTTACAAATAACCTGTTATGGACTCATGGGATGGGCGTCGAAGTGGTCAATTATATACGATTAAGCTTAAAGCATGTGTTTGTTTTGTGATATATAATGTGTGCCTTTAATGTGCCTATGTACTCCATATCGGTGTCTATTCTAACTTCCTCTTTTTATTGAAAACATGTAATTTTGTATATGTACTGATAAATAACATTAGCGTTATTATTGAATTAGCTTTTAATATATAACGAATATTATAAACATAAATAAATGTACGCTTTCCATGTACAATTATTGTTATTGAATGTTGTTAAAAATGATATTATGTATAACTTATTCATGTCTTGAACTAACATACGCATTGAATATAACTGATATTTTCTTGGTAACTTATTGGTTTTGAACCTTAACTAGATTTTTCCTCATATACTGGGTGTTTCTGGGTTAAATGGCCAAAATGCAAAAATGAACTAAGGACCTCAAAAGAAGAAAACAATTTCCTCTGAAGGTAATTTCGTAAACGCTTTGTTCAGGAGATATTATTCACACCTAAAGATTTTCGTTATATGAAATGAATAAAACCTATTTATTTGTTCTAACTACTTTATTAATTAAATGTAAACATCAATAATTGAATCTAGTAAAACACATATCCAGTGCCGTTCTGCCACTGCTGCTAATGAAAAAAGAAGGAAATCGCTTTGAACAACATTTAATATGAACGTTAATGTTCACATTTAATGTAAATAACCTATGCCGATGACACGTGTATCCTATCAGTTAATAACGATCCATCTATTGCATCCCAAACGCTTCAATCACACATCACAAGACTTGAAAAATGGTGTGAGAACTGGAGGATTAAAATAAATTCCAATAAATACCACCAAATTACCTCCACTCTTCGCCGTAAACCTATGACTTCCTGTCCTACAGTATCCTTCAACAGCCCTCTTATCCCTGTCGAACAAATCCGATACTTAGGACTCCACCTTGACAACCGACTCACTTGGAACCCTCATACCAGACAGAAACGACTTGTAACCGCCCGACGTTTTCGACTTTCTGCAACCCTTACTAGACAAACGCTCTAAGCTCACAATCAATTACAAACGACTCATATATATGACAATAATAAGACCTATTTGGACTTACGCAATTAAGCTTTGGGGCTCCACTAAACCATCGAATTCCTCTCGTATCCAATCCTTACAATCCAAAACCCTTCGTAAAATCCTCAACGCTCCTCACTTACTTTGTCACAAAAAAATAAATCATCCATAAAGACCTTAATGTTCCATATGTTTCCGATTTGGCCCAATTCAGATATCTATCCTTCCATAACAAACTGCAGAATCATCCGAATCCTCTCGTTTCAAACCTTGCTTTCTCCTCGATCCCTGATAATCCTCCGAGGCGTCTGAAAAGAAGATGGCCTCGGGAACTTCTAATATAGAACTTTAATTTGAGTTCAAACAATGGTTAGTTTCTCTTCATGTTGTACACGTCATGTTACCAATGTCACATTTACTTATTGTATTTTCCATGTAATACAGTTGTAAATCTCAATAAAATAAAATTTAAAAAAAAATGTAAATAATGAGGGTGATGAGAGCAAGTGGTGAGAGAGTGGTTATGTTGATGAAGAGATGAGTAAAAGAATTGGGTCAGCTGGCAGAGTGGTCTATCTTCCCCGGAGTGGATTTGTGGGCAGAAGAGAGATATCGAAGCGAACTAAAGTAGCAGTCTACAAATCGACATTTCTCCCTATCCTTTCGTACTCCTCTGAATCGTAGACCCTCACCTCGAAACAAAAAAAGTCTAATTCAAGCCATGGAGATGCGATACCTTCGGAATGTCGAAGGAAAGGTAAAAAGAGATAGGGTCCGAAACGCCACTGTACGAACTAGCCTCGAGGTCAAACTAGCTGAAACCATCCTAGAGGAGCACAAGCTAAGATGGTCGGACATCTTCTTGGAATGGATCAAGAGAGAACAGCCAGGAAGACATACGAGCCCGTGTGGAAGAAAGGAGACCTAGAGGAAGACCACGCATATCCTGGGAAGACAGGGTACAAGAGGCGTTCAGGAAGCGAGGTATGGATTGGAGTAAGAGATTTTGCTCAAGAAAGGGAAACCTGGTCCAAGCTCTACAAGATATAGCCCACACTGCGCTGCGGTATTGGGATCAGGAATATGATGATGATGTTGATGTTTACATTTAATTAATATCATAGTTAGAAAAAATAAATAGGTTTTATTTTTTTCATATAACGTAAATAATTCATAACAACGAAAATGTTTAGGTGTGCTCATCTTCTAAACATAAATTCACAGTAATTTTTTTCTGGTTTTGAGGGTCTTAGTTCATTTTTGCAGTTTGGCCATTTAACCCTTAAATACCCTGTATATTCAAATTGTGATTTGATTAAAAAATAAATATATCGCTAATGTTAGTGCAATATAAAGTAGGTAAAAATTGAATTTATCTACAGAACAGAATAATAAGCTATGATTCATTAGTATAATTTCATATTTTATATTCACTATTTAGCAGATTACTTTCAGCAGTTGAGTTACGGAACCCAACGTAGTACGGAACCCAAGAACTTACATGGGTTGTTATGATATTCAGCAGTTATAACGCCTGTATATGTAATAACCATATATTATATATATAATATCTATAAAAGTCGTCTCAGTTCTTTATGGCCAAACTCTGAGGGCGATTCTAGACCAAATTTCCAACAAAAAATTTCATTAGGTTGAATCATCTCATCGTGATCTATACTTTTTATACTACACCTTTTATTAACAAAAATTCTCTTTTTGGGACATATTTAATCTGGAGACCGGTAAAATTTGTCTATATAATTAAGCAATAATAAATTGTAAACACCCATTCGCTTTCTACTTGAATCGTCACATCAAAAAGGTGACGTACAAAAATATTAGTCAGTTTATTGTGACCTCCACACCAAAAATGTCAAAATATCGAAGTTGTATAGACCAAATGGCCCAATATTTCAGTAGGCCACCTTCATCTTCGGTTTGGTTATAAAATCATCATATGATTCAAGTAAACATCAAATGGGTGTTTATGAGTTATTAGAACCTAATTAAATAGAAAACTTCTGACAATCACTAGATTGAAAGCAACCCGATTCCAATTTTCGGAAATAAAATACTTGAAAGTCATGATAAGACGAAGGCATTCACGAAATTTTAGCCGGATGTTTAAAATTTTAATAAAAATGGATTTACAGGCTATGGTTCACAGTAAAAAAAATGAAATAAATAAAAAGACTCATATTATTGTTTACATTGCAACATCGACCTACATCTATCGTCTACTTCTTCTTCAGCGACGCCACGTACACTTCCAGGTTTTTATGCGGAAGAGGAAGTTCGTTGTGTATGATCTGCTCGCCCTTTTCGTTCCTGTATTCCACGGGGTTCCGGAACGAGTGTAGACGCATGCCGGCGCAAGCATGGGCAGCGTGGCCTCCATACTTGTTCGCCGTCATGAACTTAATCAGGCTGAACTTTTCTTCGGATTTGACCATGTCAGCGACAGCCTGAACATATAGCCAACTTATATAACTAGTTTGAGAGAATAAAGAAGTTATATAACTATTATATAGTGTGCCTCAACTCTTAACGGCCAAACTGTGGGAGGTGATTCTAGACAAAATTACCAACAAAAAATATCGAAGATAAGAATAGTTGGGTGGTCAGTCAAAAAATAATGCAAAAATAAATGATAATATTTATTTTTACATATACCGACATTTCGACCTGAAGTTCAGGTCTTCATCAGGGCTAAGAAAATAACCAGATAACAAGGTATGAGAAACATAAGTACCCTTCAAAACTTTATAAGTACATATAAGTACCCTTAAAGTACAACACATAAGTACCCTTCAACACTTTTGGAGATAGGTACTACTTTTTTTTTCTTTCTTATTTCAGCTTTCTCATTTTCTTCCCTCCTTCCTTTCATTATTTTTCTCTGTTTTTAACTCTTTATTATATTATACATTGTCGTCTTACACATCTTGATAGACTTTACAATATCTCAATTTTTTATGTAACTACTCCATTCTCAATGTCTTAATTTTAATATTTATTTTCATTTCTTATATAACTTCATATTTCTTTTTTATGTTTCACATTTTATTCTAAGATTCCCATTTTAACACTTATGTCACCCTTTTTGATTATGCTTACTTCATTATTCCACACTTTGTAACGGTTATTATTATTTATCTCTTAGTTCTAACTATTGTCATTATTCTAACAATTTCATTTTACTTTATTTTTTTCTTTTATTTTTTTTCTTTATATATATATATATATATTATATATATATATTTTTTTTTTTTTTTTTTACCATCACTACTTATGTTTCTCATACCTTGTTATCTGGTTATTTTCTTAGCCTTGATGAAGACCTGAACTTCAGGTCGAAACGTCGGCATATGTAAAAATAAATATTATCATTTATTTCTGCCTTCTTTTTTGACTGACCACCCCAACTATTCTCTTCATTATCCGCGACAGTCAACAATTTACCAATAAACAAAAAATATCATTTGATGTATGGGGCAATTTTGAACGGAAAAGGAGTTAACTCCAACCATGTATTTTCTTAAAATTGTCACTAGTGTTGCCCAAATGCAAGACCGTGACGAGTCTTGGTATTGTAAAGTCAGTTTTGGTCTAGGTCTAGGTCTTACTCTTGCACAAGAGTCTCGCAACGGTCTTGAAGTTACCTATTAGCTTAGTACTATAGAGATATTACTGCATATTTTTTTAGATACGGGAAACCTAACTAAGTCCGAATGAAAAATTAGAAGAGTTAAATGCAAAAGGATATTGGTTATACCAATTCTTTACATATAGTAACTAAAATTATCAAACATCAATTTTGCCTTGAGTTTTTATTCAAAAAATCGACTTTTTTTATCAGTCTTGGTCTTGGTCTTGCACTTTGCAAGATCAAGACCGATTATGGGCAACACTAGTTGTCACGTTTTCTCTTTCATAAGACACGATAACAAAAAAAAGTATTTAATTCAGGTAATTAAAAGTTGCTTCAAAGTAAAAAAAAAACTAGACAAAATTGTCTTCAAATACAAGTAGAATTTGTCTTTTTCAAAACCATACTTCTTTAAGTTGCAATTTCCATTA